GTATTTACATGGAGATCATATCCCCCCTTATGTATTATACATGGAGATCATATCCCCCCTTATGTATTATACATGGAGATCATATCCCCCCTTATGTATTATACATGGAGATCATATCCCCCCCTTATGTATTATACATGGAGATCATATCCCCCCCTTATGTATTATACATGGTGATCATATCCCCCCCTTATGTATTATACATGGTGATCATATCCCCCCCTTATGTATTATACATGGAGATCATATCCCCCTTATGTATTATACATGGAGATCATATCCCCCCCTTATGTATTATACATGGAGATCATATCCCCCCTTATGTATTATACATGGAGATCATATCCCCCCTTATGTATTATACATGGAGATCATATCCCCCTTATGTATTATACATGGAGATCATATCCCCCTTATGTATTATACATGGAGATCATATCCCCCCCTTATGTATTATACATGGAGATCATATCCCCCCTTATGTATTATACATGGTGATCATATCCCCCCTTATGTATTATACATGGAGATCATATCCCCCCTTATGTATTATACATGGAGATCATATCCCCCCCTTATGTATTATACATGGAGATCATATCCCCCCTTATGTATTATACATGGAGATCATATCCCCCCTTATGTATTATACATGGAGATCATATCCCCCTTATGTATTATACATGGAGATCATATCCCCCCTTATGTATTATACATGGAGATCATATCCCCCTTATGTATTATACATGGAGATCATATCCCCCCCTTATGTATTATACATGGAGATCATATCCCCCCCTTATGTATTATACATGGAGATCATATCCCCCCCTTATGTATTATACATGGAGATCATATCCCCCCCTTATGTATTATACATGGAGATCATATCCCCCCCTTATGTATTATACATGGGAGATCATATCCCCCCTTATGTATTATACATGGAGATCATATCCCCCTTATGTATTATACATGGAGATCATATCCCCCCCTTATGTATTATACATGGAGATCATATCCCCCCTTATGTATTATACATGGAGATCATATCCCCCCTTATGTATTATACATGGAGATCATATCCCCCCCCCCTTATGTATTATACATGGAGATCATATCCCCCCTTATGTATTATACATGGAGATCATACCCCCCCTTATGTATTATACATGGAGATCATATCCCCCCCCTTATGTATTATACATGGAGATCATATCCCCCCTTATGTATTATACATGGAGATCATATCCCCCCCTTATGTATTATACATGGAGATCATATCCCCCCTTATGTATTATACATGGAGATCATATCCCCCCTTATGTATTATACATGGAGATCATATCCCCCCCTTATGTATTATACATGGAGATCATATCCCCCCCTTATGTATTATACATGGAGATCATATCCCCCCCTTATGTATTATACATGGAGATCATATCCCCCCTTATGTATTATACATGGAGATCATATCCCCCCTTATGTATTATACATGGAGATCATATCCCCCCTTATGTATTATACATGGAGATCATATCCCCCCTTATGTATTATACATGGAGATCATATCCCCCCCTTATGTATTATACATGGAGATCATATCCCCCCTTATGTATTATACATGGAGATCATATCCCCCCTTATGTATTATACATGGAGATCATATCCCCCCCTTATGTATTATACATGGAGATCATATCCCCCCTTATGTATTATACATGGAGATCATATCCCCCCTTATGTATTATCATCCTCATTCTCAGTAGAGAATACATTCAGTTCCCCCTTATCTTTCCTACATGGCTGATCATCCTCCATCCCCTCGTATCAGTTTTTTCCCTTCTCTGTACTTTCTCCCCCCAATGTACTTTTTGTGAATTGGAGCCCAAAACTGAACTCATATCCCCAGATGAGGTATTATAATGAGATTGTACCCCCCTTATCTCTATTATCATGGAGTCATATACCTCCCCTTATGTATTATACATGAGAGGATTTTGCTCGCTTTAGAACCCGCAGCTTTGCATTCCCCTATTATTAATTGTGATCATATCCCCCCTTATGTATTATACATGGAGATTCTCCACAATTGTACCCATGGAGATCCATATCCCCCCATTGTACTCCCCCATGGAGATCCATATCCCCCTTATGTATTATACATGATGATCATATCCCCCCTTATGTATTATACATGGAGATCATATCCCCCCTTATGTATTTATACATGGAGATTCATATCCCCCCCTTATGTATTATACATGGAGATCATGATCCCCCTGTAAGTTTAGACATCCTGGGATCGTTATCCCCCCAGCTTATGTATGCAATACATGGAGATCATAATCCCCCCCTTATATTATACATGGAGATCATAGCCCCTTATGTATTATACATTGGGATCTGATATCCCCCCTTATGGAATTATACATGGAGATTCATATCCTACCCCTTATGTATTATAAAAGGGAGATCTAGGCTTATCCCCCCCTTATGTATTATACATGGCAGATCATATCCCCCCTTTATGTATTATATGCCCTTGGAGGGAAGGAGAAGGAATCCCCCCCTTATGTATTATGAACATGGAGATAAATGAGAATTATACATGGAGATCATATCCCCCCTTATGTATTAGGAAGGAATGGGTGATCATATCCCCCCCTTATGTGGATTATACATGGAGATCATATCCCCCCTTATGAAGGAGATTATACATGGAGATCATATCCCCCCTTATGTATTATACATGGAAGATATCCCCCCTTATGAGAAGGATACATGGAGAAGGATAAGGATGAGAAGAAGGAGGAGATCATATCCCCCTTATGTATTATACATGGAGATCAGAATCCCCCCTTATGTGATTATAATAGAGATATCCCCCTAATGGAGGAGATGAAGAAGAAAGGAGAAGGGAAGGATGATTATACATGGAGATCAGGATGAGAAGGATGGAGAATGTATTGAGAATACATGGAGATCATAGAAGGATGAGAAGAAGGAGATCATATCCCCCCTTATGTAGGAAGGATACATGGAGATCATATCCCCCCTTAGATTATTACATGGATGAGAAGAAGGAGAAGGATGTATGAAGGATGGAAGAAGGAGAAGGATGAGAAGAGGAGTAGGATGATATGGAGATCATATCCCCCCTTATGAGATACATGGAGAATCCCCCCTTATGTATTATACATGGGAGATCATATGAGAAGATGTATTATACATGGAGATCATATCCCCCCCCTTAGATTATACATGGAGAAGGATGAGAAGAATTATGAAGGATGATACATGAGAAGAAGGAGTATTATACATGAGAGAGAATCCCCCTTATGAGAAGAAGGAGATCTATCCAGAGAAGGATGAGAAGAACACTGGACCCTCATATCCCCCTTAGTAGGATAGAAGATGGAGAAGGATGAGAAAATGAATGAAGGAGAAGATCATATCCCCCCCCTTAGAATGAAGGAGAAGGATGAGGAAGAGGAGAAGGAGAAGGATGAAAGAAGGAGAAGGAGAAAGAAGAGAGAATGAGAAGGATTAAGGATGGAGATCATATCCCCCCTTATGTGATTTAGAAGGAGAAGGAGAAGGATGAGAAGAAGGAGAAGGATGAGAAGAAGGAGAGCCATGATAGATGAGAAGAAGGAGAATACATGGGATCATATCCCCCTGAAGTATCTATACCATGAGAAGAAGCCCCCCTTATGTATTATACATGGAGATGAGAAGATTTTAGAAGGATGAGATCATGGAGAAGGATGAGATGTTTTAGGACAGAGCAGAAGGAGAAGGATGAGAAGAAGGATGAGAAGAAGGAGAAGGATGAGAAAAGAAGGATGAGAAGAAGGAGAAGGCTGATCAAGAAGAAGTTCAATGATGAAATGGAGATGGGATGAGAAGAAGGAGAAGGATGAGATTATAGAATGGATGAGAAGAAGAAGAAGGATGAAAATAAGAAGAATTACGCCACTAAATAACAGTGTATATGGAGCTCCCCTCTATAACCACAGATACACTTAGAGGTAGCCTGCAGATACACTTTTTGCCGGCTTGGAATTCTTCTTATTTTCATTCCTGAACCTTCTTCTTCTTCTTCTCATCCTCAGAAGAAGAAGATGAGGATTGAGGATGAAGAAGAAGAAGAAGTAGGATTAAAAATAAGAAGAATTCCATTCCCCCAAAGTGTATCTGCAGGAGCTCCATCCAGTGTATCTGCAGAGCTCCTCTATTTCTGACAGTTCTCTGACTTTCCATTTACAGCGGTTGGAAACATTGTATCTGTTTCTGAATAAAAACATCTGTATCCTAAATGGAAACAAATAGATACAATGTTTCAACCGCTGTACATTGTGAAGGAACTGTCAGAGAACTGTCAGAAATAGCCAGCTCTCTGCAGGGACACTTTTGCCGGCTGATCGGGAAAAAATCCGATTCGCGCGCACACCGAAGTAGGCTAATATTACGCCCAGATCCATTCGACGAATTTTTCCTGAAATTCGTATCGAATTCCACTTCGCCTGGTTCGCTTGATTCGCTCATCTCTACTTATATATTGTTTATAAATGTATTAAAAAGTAAGGGTCCCAACACTGAACCTTGGGGTATACCACTAATAACACTGAACCTTGGGGTACCCCACTAATAACACCTGAACCCTGGGGTCCCACCCACTAATAAAACACTGAACCTTGGGGTACCCCACTAATAACACTAAACCTTTGGGGTACACCACTAATATACACTGAACCTTGGGGTACACCAATAAACACGACTAGACAATTTAGAGTATGAATCCTTAACCACTACTGTCTGAATTCGATCTTTTAGCCAGTTTTCTATCCATTTACATTCAGATTTTTCCAACCTGTAGACTTTACCTTACACATTAGCTGTGTGTGGGGAACTGTGTCAAACGCTTTTGCAAAATCCAAGTATACCACGTCCACCCCTCTGTCCAAGTATACCACGTCCACCGCCACACCCTCTGTCCAAGTATACACATCCACGTCCACCGCCACCCCTCTGTCCAAGTATCCCACGTCCACCGCCACCCCCTCTGTCCAAGTATACCACGTCCACCGCCACCCCTCTGTCCAAGTATACCACGTCCACCGCCACACCCCTCTGTCCAAGTATACCACGTCCACCGCCACCCCTCTGTCCAGTATACCACGTCCACCGCCACCCCTCTGTCCAAGTATACCCGTCCACTGCCACCCCTCTGTCCAAGTATACCACATCCACCGCCACCCCTCTGTCCAAGTATACCACGTCCACTGCCACCCCTCTGTCCAAGTATACCACATCCACCCCTCTGTCCAAGTATACCACGTCCACAGCCACCCCTCTGTCCAAGTATAGCATGGCCACAATCACCCCTCTGTAAGTATACCATGTACACATCCACCCCTCTGTCCAAGTACACCACATCCACCGCCACCCCTCTGTCCAAGTATACCACATCCACCGCCACCCCTCTGTCCAAGTACACCACATCCACAGCCACCCCTCTGTCCAAGGTTTTGCTCACCCCCTCATAAAAAGAAATCAGATTTGTGTGACAACTTCTGTCTTTCATGAGTCCATGCTGTCTGTGGCTTACAATATTTGTTTCCAGCAAGAACTCCTCTATGTGGTCTTTTATTAATCTCTCCAGTATCTTCCCAACTATAGAAGTTACACTAACAGGTCTATAATTACTTGGGAAAGATTTTGACCCTTCTTTGAATAGTGGCCCCACATTGGCCTTACACCAATCCAGTGGTACTATGCCAGTCATTAAAGAGTCCCTAAAAATGAGAAACAATGGCTGTGAGATGACAGAGCTGAATTCTTTAAGGCCCCGTGGGTGTCTGCCATCCGGTCCAGGGGCTTTATTCACCTTTATTCTGTCTAAATATTTCTGGATCATATCAATTGTGAGCCAATGTGGATCATCTGGGGGGTGTCAGTACCACCCCCATTATGGACAAGAGCCCCCCCATGCTCCTTTGTATACACAGAGCTGAAGAAGGGATTTCATACATTGTCCTTCTCTTTGTCCCCAGTCACCCCCCCTAGATGGTTCTGTAAAGGGCCTACATGCTGGGACCGGACCTTTCTACTATTCATATATTGGAGGAATGTTTTGGGGTCGTCCTGATATCTTTCTGTTCGTTTGTTTTCAGTTTTTTGCTCCTTTATTTCCTTTTTGCATATTCTGTTCTATTCTTTGTAATGTGTAAACGATGATCGCGTTCCTTCATTTTTATATTTAATAAAAGCTCTTTTCTTATTATCTATAGCTTTTGTAACTTTGGCCGTAAGCCACATAGGTTGGATTTGTAGCCTTTTATACTTGTTGCCCATGGGAATATATTTTGCAGTGTGGTCACATACAGTCTTTATGAAGAACTCCCATTTCTGTGTTGTGTTCATCGATGTCAATATTCCCTCCCAGTCTAAGTCTTGGAGAGCAGATCTCACCCTTGGAAAATTAGCTCTCTTAACCTCCTTGGCGGTATTCCCGAGTGTAGCTCGGGGGTAGAATTTTCTATACCAAGAACGGTAACCCCGAGCTACACTCGGGCTTACCATGCAGCGTTCTCCGGGGGTCCCTGCAGCACTTACCTTGTCCTTCGCTCCCACGATGGGTCCCCTGCAGCGTCCCCGGCCATCTCCTCCGGCGGATGCCGGCATCCGGCTTCCGTGTTCCGGTCCCTGTGACGTCGGAACGTTCGGGCGGCGGAACCGGTGGGAAATTTGAAATTTTTAAAAAAATGACATTTTTGCTGTCATTGCTTTTTCACTGCATTTCACATACATTTTGTCCCGAGTGCTTTGTCCGGCGCCCTGCCTGCATTTTGACTGTTCTTTCTGCCTGGAAACTTAGAAAAGTCCATGGAGGCCAAAAAGCGTCCCTTTACGTCAAAAGCGGTTTTAGAACAGCGATAGTAAATTAGAACCACTTGCAGAATTGAGTGATAATGATTTGTGGGGGAAATTCGTCATCAGACACTGAAAACGATTCTGCGATTTTGCTCAGCGATGTGCGAATTTGCCTCTGTATTTCAAATTTCAGTGTTTTTGGTTTGATTATATTATTGAATTAAATTTATTATTATTATATTATTATTTTTTATTATTTATTAAATTATAATTTATGATTTCGTGTTTCAAGTTTTATCATATCCGGGATGTTTACTAGACTCTTGTTCGGACAGATTTCAGTGAGTTATTCCTAAAAATTACAGCCTACAATAAAAAACTACATATTTTCCATGCAAAAAAAATGTACCGCTTTCAGCACCAAAAATCGGAAAGAATCATACCGCCAGGGAGGTTAAAGTTGAGTGTTTTTTTTTCCCGTATGTGCTTGCTGTTTACAGCTAACAATAAATGAAATCATGTTATGGTCACTGCTACCCAGATGTTCTTTTATATGGACATTCATAATAAGCTCAGCATGGTTGGATGGAAATGACCAGGTCCAGCAGAGCATCATTCCTAGTTGTGGCCTCTATGAACTGGACCATAAAATCGTCCTGTAGTAGGTTTGTACATTTTTGCCCTTTAACTGTTCCTGCAGTACCATTACTCCAGTCACTTTCAGGGTAGTTACCATCCCCCATTATTATCACTGTCCCAGCCCTTTCCATCTGTGGGAGGAGCTGAGTCTCCAACTCCTCATTAACACTGGGAGGCCTATAACAAACTCCAATGATGACCTTTGTAGTACCGCCCCCCATGTGCAGTTCCACTCGTAATACTTCAGCCTCATCACACTCTCCATCAACTAGGTCCTCTTTCACACTCGCTCTGAGATCACTTCTCACATAGAGACAGACACCACCACCTTTCCTATTTCCCCCGTCTCTCCGAAAGAGAACCTAGCCAGGAATATGAATGGCCCAGTCATGTGAGGAATGAAGCCAAGATTCAGCAATACCAATTCAATCCTAGTTCTCTTCATGCACCAAACCTTCCAACTCACCTATTGTGCTGGGCACACTTCTGGCATTGGGGAACAAACACTTTCATTCACTGACACCTTGTTCATTCACTGACACCTTGTTCATTCACTGACACCTTGTTCATTCACCGACTCCTTGTTCACACGGATTTTGTGTATTTTTTATTTTCATACAAATAGTACCAATTCCACTGGTTGTTTGTAACATGGGAACCCTCTTATCATCTGCCATAGCCTCTCCCCCCATTCCACCCACCAATAAGTACTGACCCCGGTCTGATCTGTCTACCCCCTTATAATCGAATTCTCCCTCCCCCCTCCATCCTAGTTTATATACTCCTCCAGCCTTCCCATTAACTCCCTCCCCCAGCACAGCAGACCCCCTTCCATTTAGGTACAAACCATCTCTAGCATATAGGCTGCACCCCAATGAGAAGTCAGCCCAGTGCTCTAGGTCAGGACTCCATTTTTATTCTTCTTCTCCTGCCATCAATGGCCAACCTGGTCCCACACTTCATCCATGGCTTTCAAGTCATGGCAAGGTACACGTTGAGCGTTGAATATCTGGGTGTAGAGAGATCACGGGGGGGATTTGTATATCTGTTGTCACATGTTGCTGAGTTACTGATTTCTTACACATTTCCAGACAGTTGGGATGTAATTCATTAATATTTGGAAGTAATTGCTGGCTTGTATTTCTCCCCATTATTGTGGATTAGATCATTGTACTGTTATCTTGTATTGTTTATTATTTATCATCACCATTTTGCACTGATTTTTTTTAATAAATATATATTTTTGATATTATTGCTTTTTATTTTGTTTTTATTTTTTTTATAACAGACCTCTAAGTGTTTGTGAAATCTCCAACCACAAAATGTACTCAGCCAATGACAGGTCAGGACTCCATTTTTATTCTTCTCCTGCCATCAATGGCCAACCCGGTCCCACACTTCATCCATGTCTTTGGGGACCTCTGATCTCCTTATGAACTGTTTCTTCCATGATGAAGATCAGCCATGGAGTATATCTGAGGTGTATATCAGGGTGTGCTTCTTCCCCACATGAGAGCTGGGATGTCCAGCAACATTCATCTAGAAGACATTTCCCGCACTCAAGGCACTAATACACCTCCAGGGTTGTGTGGGACCCCTGATGTACAGGAAGACAGGACTTCAGTGAGGAACATTTCCCTCACTCAGGACAGGGAAGTGGCTTCTCCCCCGTGTGAGATCTCTGATGTCTGTAAAGAGTGGATCTATGTGAAAAACTTTTCCCGCACTCAGGACAGGAATATGGCTTTTCCCCAGTGTGCAAATCTCTGATGTGTGTGAAGATTGGATATCTGTGAAAAACATTTCCCACACTCAGGACAGGAATATGGCATTACCCCCGTGTGAGATCTTTGATGTGCGGAAAGATGGGACGTCTGTGAAAAACATTTCCCGCACTCAGGACAGGAATACGGCTTCTCCCCCGTGTGTGATCTCTGATGTCTGGAAAGATGAGACTTCCGTGAGAAACATTTCCCGCACTCAGAACAGGAATACGGCTTCTCCCTCATGTGAGATCTCTGATGTCTGTAAAGATTGGAGATCTGTGAAAAACATTTCCCGCACTCAGGACAGGAATACGGCTTCTCCCCCGTGTGAGATCTCTGATGTGAGTGAAGATGGGACTTCTCTGTAAAGCATTTCCCACACTCAGGACAGGAATATGGCATCACCCCCGTGTGAGATCTCTCATGTGTGGAAAGATTGGACTTCCGTGAAAAACATTTCCCGCACTCAGAACAGGAATACGGCTTCTCCCTCATGTGAGATCTCTGATGTCTGTAAAGATTGGAGGTCTGTGAAAAACATTTCCCGCACTCAGGACAGGAATACGGCTTCTCCCCCGTGTGAGATCTCTGATGTATGTGAAGATGGGACTTCTCTGAAAAGCATTTCCCACACTCAGGACAGGAATATGGCATCACCCCCCGTGTGAGATCTCTCATGTGTGGAAAGATGGGACTTCCGTGAAAACCTTTTCCCGCACTCAGAACAGGAATACGGATTCTCCTCCGTGTGAGATCTCTGATGTCCGTAAAGATTGAACTTCCTTGCAAAACATTTCCCGCACTCAGTACAAGGAAACCTCTTCTCTTGTTGGAAGGCCGACCCGGTCCCGCACAGTCTGAGGTTCCTCAGGATACAAGGAATCCGATGGTCCATCTACACTGGGTGGTGCCGGATGGACATTGAAGGGAGCCGGGTTTTCTCCTGGACTATACTGTGTGATGTCCTCATCTTCTACTTTCCAGTCTGGAGACAAAGTGAGACAATCCTCGGAGGTTTTCCTCATCTCCCGGCCATGGACTAAAATACAAAGACAAAGAGGATTACTAGACATGAGCTGATTGGTTCCCCCAAATCAGGACTCCACCTACATCAGGCAGCTTGGTCTCTGAGGAGCTTACAATTCCACCCTCAAGGGAACTAGGAAATGGCTCCTCTGATCTCCTACCAGGTCATTTCTTTATTCATGGACCTTAGTCAGATTGTGAGGAAACAACCAGAACTGTCTTTTATAGGAGGGACAGTGATGAGGAGATTATAGGACGAGGGTCCCCACCCCCTCTATCACTCATCGCCATCTTCCCAACACAAGAAGTACTGCACTTCCTTATTTAGTCCATGATTTAGTCATGAAGAACAGCGGGGCTGAGCCCAACCAGAGGTCAGAGAGTGAGGATGGAGGGAGAACAACCAAGATGAAGACTGGAGTGATCCTGAAGACCACCATCATTGGGGTATTGACTCCTCCCTCATTATCACTTTCTGTTTAAGGGTCCAAAGTTGGAGGATGTTATCACATTATTATCACCATGTAAAAGTCTGTGCTCCAATCACATCATCCGATATAAAATGTCCAACTGGGAGGAAATGGGGGGGGAACAAAAGAAAATCCATATTATGTGTATATATAGCAGTGGGGGGAGGGGGACAGCAGAAATTCAGGACTATGGAATGTACAACATAGAGTATATAGTGCAGGGGTCAGGAGTATGTAATGTACAACATAGAGTATATAGTGCAGGGGTCAGGAGTATGTAATGTACAACATAGAGTATATAGTGCAGGGGTCAGGAGTATGTAATGTACAACATAGAGTATATAGTGCAGGGGTCAGGAGTATGTAATGTACAACATAGAGTATATAGTGCAGGGGTCAGGAGTATATAATGTACAACAGAGTATATAGTGCAGGGGTCAGGCGTATGTAATGTACAACAGAGTATATAGTGCAGGGGTCAGGAGTATATAATGTACAACAGAGTATATAGTGCAGGGGTCAGGCGTATGTAATGTACAACATAGAGTATATAGTGCAGGGGTCAGGAGTATGTAATGTACAACATAGAGTATATAGTGCAGGGGTCAGGAGTATATAATGTACAACAGAGTATATAGTGCAGGGGTCAGGAGTATGTAATGCAGTGTACAACAGAGTATATAGTGCAGGGGTCAGGAGTATGTAATGTACAACAGAGTATATAGTGCAGGGTGTCAGGAGTATGTAATGTACAACATAGAGTATATAATGCACTGATCAGGAAGATATAATGACAACAGAGTATATAGTGCAGGGGTCAGGAGTATGTAATGTATATCAGAGTATATACTGTAGGTCAGGAGCATGCAGTGTACAACATAGAACACAGGTGTCAAACACAAGGCCCGTGGGCTGAATCCGGCCCTCCAGGCCATTTCATGTGGCCCTTGCACCTCTCCTGCAGGTACCCCCTTGTCTCCAGCTTGTCTCAGCAGTCATCATCATAGAGGAGAATATAATAATTTCTCTGCCAAATCCTTTACCTCTCAGTGCAGCTGCAGCACCCCCTCATCTCTGCCTCCCCTGGTCAAAGCATTCAGCAGACTCTGGTAACTGACTCCACTCCTACTCTGTGGTCTTCCTCCAGACCATATACCTTCTGCTTTATAGCTCTGCCCCCAAAGGGGGTGCATGGTGATGTTAGGAGAGGGTGTCAGATTTTTTACATCTGATGTAATGGGGGGTGAGGTGTTCTGGACATCTAGTCTTCACATGTACAACCGGCCCTTTGAGGGCAACCATAATGTTGATACGGCCCGCGATGAAATGGAGCTTGACACCCCTGACAGTGTATATAGTGCAGGGGTCAGGGATATATAATCTACAACATAGAGTATATAGTGCAGAGGTCAGGAGTATGTAATGTACAACATAGAGTATATAGTGCAGGGGTCAGGAGTATGTAATGTACAACAGAGTATATAGTGCAGAGGTCAGGAGTATGTAATGTACAACATACAGTGTATAGTGCAGGGGTCAGGAGTATGTAATGTACAACACAGAGTATATAGTGCAGGGGTCAGGAGGATGTAATGTACAACATAGAGTATATAGTGCAGGGGTCAGGAGGATGTAATGTACAACAGAGTATATAGTGCAGGGGTCAGGAGTATGTAATGTACAATATAATATATACAGTGTAAGGGTCAGGACTCATAATATTAGTATTCAGCAAATAGTGATGGCCTAGATGTCCACATGACAAGCTGCAGAGGTCCCACACTGCTGCCTCCCATCTCCTGAGACTGAATCCATTGTTTCTATGTGTTTATCAAATGATGGGGGATCTAGATGGATCCTCCGTACTGCTCTCTCCTTTACAATAAAGTCTCCTCTTACCCGGTGATGTGAGGGGCGGCTGATTGTCCATCATGACGTCCTTGTAGAGATCCTTGTGTCCTTCTAAATACTCCCACTCCTCCATGGAGAAATAGACAGTGACACCCTGACACCTTATAGGAACCTGACACACACAATGATACAGTCACCATCCAGACACATCCCTTGTCTGTTACTGGAGAATGTCCCAGAATTCCCGGCACCGCTCACCTCTCCTGTCAGCAGCTCCATCATCTTCTCTGTGACTTCTAGAATCTTCTGTGTCTTCTGTCTTGTAGGGATCAGGGGGATGGAGGTGGGGGGATGGTGATGGGATTCTGGATTCTCGAGGATCTTGTGGTCATACGATGAGATCTCCTTCTTGTGTCATTGTCGGTAGATTTCTTCATGACTCCTGTACAGTTCTGTGTGATACAAAGAGGTCTTACCTGTCCATAATGGACAACAAGAGGAAGTACTTGGTATAGCAGAGTCCAATGTTTGGTGAAAGGATTGGTGCAAAGCTGAAGGTTTTGGTTCTGTTAGTCATGATGCCATCAGGTGGTCTGACATTGAGCTGTACAATAGAGATGGTCTGCATCCCTCACACAAGGGCGCTCAGCTCCTTACTATGGAATTTAGGAGGTTTTTGGACATGCATTTAAACTGAGAAATGGGGGCAGAGATGTCATTGTTGAGGATCATTTCTGTCCCCAGCAGGCTGAAACAAATGTGAGGTTGGTGTTGCTCAGGACGGGGCTGATGGGGTCACTTCAGTTACAGTTTCTGCTGGTAAACATAAAGCAGTAGATGGCAGTGCTTGTCATGTCATTGCACTAATGCTCCGAGTTTAGGCAACAAGCTTTGTGAGCTGACAGCTCTTATGTCTAGGGACCACTTGGACCTTCTTGTAATTACAGAGACGTGGTTCAAGGATTCAGATGACTGGGAAGTAACTATACCAGGCTATACACTATACAGGAAAGACAGAGTAGGGGGGAGGGGAGGTGGAGTTGTCATATATGTCAGAAATAGCATAAGGAGAACATTAATTCAAACAACAAATGAAATACTGGAAACCCTCTGGGTCTGCCTTCCAACCAGAGAGGGATCTCCCTTGAGAATTGGTGTCATATACAGACCCCCAGGACAGGCTGAAGATTAGGAGGACTTCTTGATTGATGAGATAACTCAAATGGCAATGAAGGGGGAGGTTTTCATTATGGGTGACGTCACCACGCCTGACATTAACTGAAATTCTCAAACTGTTATTACAAGCAGGAGCAGGATGTAATGGAAGCACTGAATGGGGCTTCTCTAAAACAGTAAAAAGTCCAACCCAAGGTGATCATATTCTAGACCTAGTACTGACAAATGGGGATCAACTGTCTAATGTTGAGGTGGGAGAAAATGTGGGTTCTAGTGATCACCAATGTCTTTGGTTTGATATTAAAATAAGAACTGAAAAATCAAAAACAAAAGATTTAGATTCCAAAAAGACAAATTTGGTGAAATGGGCGAATTTCTAAAAAAATGAGTTGAAAGGTTGGAGTAAAAGGACCGGAGTAAGTAATCAGTGGGCACTGTTAGAGTCTACCATCCTGGAGGCAACTAGATTATATGTCAGGCAAGTTAGTAAGAATAAACAGAAGAGACAACCAATATGGTTCACTAAAGAGAGAAGTAGGATAGTAAAGGAAAAAAAATCATATAAGAGATTCAAGGAAACAGGAGGTGGAGGTGATAGAGAAGAGTATAAAAATAGAGAAAAAAGGAGGCCAAACACATTATCAGCGCTGCCAAAGCACAGAAAGAGGAGGAAATTGCTAAATCTATGAAGAAAGGAGATAAAACATTTTTTAGGTACATTAGTGATAGAAAAAAAATACGATGGGATCACTAAAATGAAATCTGGGCACAACACCTATGTTGGGGGAGACCTGGATGTAGCAAACCACTTAAACAATGACTTTTGTTCCGTCTTCTCAGAAATAAATTATACTAACAATAATAAGTTGGGAAATCATATTGGTTCCAGTAATGATGGATCATTTTTAGGATTTCGGAGACAGAGGTAGCAGAGGAACTGGCTCAGTTAAAGATTAATAAATCAATGGGCCCTGATGGATCATCCCAGAGATCTCAGAGAACTTCGAGGTCTAGTTGTTGGACCAGTAACTGATCTTTTTAATCAATCTCTTCTAACAGGAGAAGTTCCCCATGACTGGCGGACAGCTAATATTGTACCGATCCACAAGAAGGGCAGCAAGGTAGAAGCCGGCAATTACAGGCCAGTGAGTCTAACATCGGTGGTAGTCAAGTTAATGGAATCACTCCTGAAAGGAAGGATCATTGATCATCTAGAAACACACAACTTGCTGGATCCAAAGCAGCATGGCTTTACTGAGGGCAGACCAGGGCATCTCATCTGATTGGATTTTTTTTACTATAT